TTGCTCCTAGTAGCGATGCCAGGAGCCCCTAGTAGCTTCTTGCTCCTGGTAGTTAGGCCAGGAGCTACTAGTAGCATCATTGCTCCTAGTAGCGATGCCCTTTGCTCCTAGTAGTCTTTTGTGCCGCACATCCTATGACGACACCCTTCAAGACCTGTGAGTTAGAGGGGTGAGGTTGTCTGTGCCATTCTGCAGCTCCGTCTTGCTGAAACGAAGCTCGTATACCGCTAGGGAGTCTTCAAAGCCACCTAATTGCTACGAGCGCTGTATGAAAACTTGCAAAGCATACAGTAGAAGTAGAGGGACCCTGCTTGTATTCCTTAACCTCCTGCAAATTCACATGGACCCTGAAAACCACTCGATTGAGGGTGAGAAATGAGAATCGTCGCACAGGGGTCCATGTTCACGGTTCACGTTCGTCTGCAAAGAGGTCACCTCCCAACCCGCTTGACTCACCGTCTTGACTCACCCTGCGCCCGCCTGCACCTGGGCTCTTTGAAGGGCTCCTGGAAGTTAGAAAGGAGATGAAAAATGCTAACAAGGCCGCAGGCCTGTGATTTGGTCTTCCATGCACCTTTGCTTGGGGGCCCTGTGATTTTGGAGTGAGAATCTATAACGCAACTGCAACATACAACTCGAGGAACAGGATTCCTTTGCTTTGTGTGACCCTTATTGAAAAAGAACACTACACCTGGGAAACCTGCATGAACAAAATCTGGCATGATCAAACAGTCTTGCCGTTTCTGAAGGCGTGGCAACCCAAACCCCAGTTCAAGGGCATGCCTTCATGGCGTCTACGCAGTGGTGCGATCTTAGGCACTGAATATGAGGGTCCTTTGCTTGCTGAGCCCAGGTGCAATTTCACCCGAATCTGGAACAAAACAAGAAGACCAACCCTGTAGGCGGCGAGCCGCCGTTTAGTTTCACATGCAATTATGTCAGAAGGTTGCAAAAGCCGTCTTGAAAAGTGACTGCCAGCCCTGAAGAGTTGGCTCAGTGCAAGAAACAGAAGCCTGTTCCATGGATACTTAATCTTAATACACAACGCTAGAATCAAATCCAAACAGTCGCCTCGTTGCCACGGTCCAATTCCAACAACCCTCAGTCCCCGTCGGCAGATCTTCCACAGTGGACTTCTCGGACTTCTCGCTTCCATCGACCCCAGACCTCACGTGGATCGATCCCCCCTGGCCACAAATTCAATGAAACCGAGCCTACAGAGTTTGCAAAGCGAACGTAGCGTCCGATCGCTCGGTTCGTAGCGATGCCAGCCCCTAGCTTAGGAACGCGTCCGATCGCTCCAATGGATGAAAGCTGAACAGTTTCATCTGTAACTGCTTGTGATAGGAACGAACGTGTATGTTTCTGCTGGTGATCCACGGACCTGAGTCTCACATCATAGAGTTCCTGGCACAGTGCCCCAGTGCCATCCAGTTGCCCCTAAAAATTCCGTCCAACACAGCCGAGCGGCATCTTTGGGGGTACTCTCTCAGGCTTGTCTGGCTTCTCAGGGACCTTGTCACGCTTCTCCCTGAAGGGATGGGAGTTGCGTTGGGAAGCATGACGGATCTTTCGAGAGACCATCACCATTCATCACAGAAAGGAAGATTAATCGGGCCTTCATGGCAAAAAAAATCCAAACACCCTCTGCTGTTAGATTCTCTACTTCAGTGACCTCCGGTACCTGAAATCCTCCAATTAGCATCAATTAGCGTGGTTTCTGGCGGATCTGCTTCTGATGGATGTTGGATTGCTCCCTCCTGGGAGCACCTCTGTCGACAGGCTTCCTTCTTTAGCCGTGCATCGAATCCAAATCCGAAGAAAGGTTTTAGACAACAAAGGTCATCGCACCAATTCTCAAACGAGCATGTCGTCGCACCTTGGTTTTCACCTACGACAGGTCGTATTCCCTTAAAACACAAGGTGTGACGACATGTGACAACCTCGGTTTTCAATGGTTTTCACACATTTTCCTCCAACCTCAAGCCTCTGTGCTCGCTTGAGAAGATCCTCAAAGCCACGACCCGTCTCCTTCGATGCACTTTGGGCGACCGTGAGTGATAAACATCTGGCAACGCAACGTCTCGCGGGCTTAGTTGGTTTTTAAGCATATACATAGCGGCTTCAAGTATACATTGTTAGCTTTAGTTTCACACCTGTCGGGTTTCTGTAATTTTTAGTTCTATTTATGATTGTCGCGGATTCTCAACAGCCGGAACGCAAAGCTTGCAGTTATGAATCTGAGTGATTTCAGCTATTCTCTCATGAGTGGTCTGATTGTTGCTTTTTTTGAAGATTGGAAGCGATCTATCCGTGCTTCAAACTTCCCGTGTTCTGATCACATTCCGTCAAGGCACCTCCCACAATCATAGAAACACAAGCTAACATGTGCATTCTCTAGATCCTCAATTTGGATGTGTTTCTTCGGACCTCTTCTCTGAGCTTGGTGGATTCGGCACCAAGAAACAACATCGGCTACTTACAAGGGTACAAAGTTCATCCAAATTGAGAGGCATGTTTGCTTAGGGAACTATACCCACGTACACTGTGAATTCCTCTGTCTGCGCAATACTGAAGTGTCAGGCAACGACCCACCGAGAAATTCAACAAGAAACGACGTGTTGCGATGCGATGAACCGGAAAAACAAGGTAGAGCAAACGTCTTTTGGGTCGCCCGAGACGAGCTTTCCGAGTTTCAAGACGTTTCACCACCGGCCTTTCATGTGTATGGCACCCGATCGCGGTCCTTTCTGGGTGCTTCTGGAAGGGCGACAACCTGCTCATCACTTGTTGGAGGCGACCCTGTCTTCTTAGGATCTGGACCAACGTGGGTTGTCCCTTGGTTGTGTTTGAAAGTGCATGAAACCCCCATTTTGGATGAAACCTCCAACCTTGGATGAAACCAGAAGCGTTCTGCAACGATTTCTGCTTCTGTTTTTTGGGTGAAGCGCTTTTTAGGATCTTAATAGACTTTGGCCGATCCATATTGTTCATTTTCTTCTTTGGGATGCATTGGAGAACGGGGCTGTTTTGGGTATGTTCTTCTCACACCACTAAGATCATGGGGAAACAACAATGTGAAGCTAGGTCAGCTAGGACGAGGAGATCGGCGACGACCTCCGATTTCTGGCCTTGTATCCGATGTCAGGCGCACCCGGTGCCAAATTGTTGTCTTCGCTCTGCATCTCTTTCCACCTGAGCATTTCCGAGCAAGGGGATTCCTGTGGCAGAGTCATTTCAGTGATTCTCAAGTCCGAAAATATCCTAGCGTAGCAGCAAGAGCACCATACATTACATGCTCTCCACACAAAGAAGGGATTTTTTTGTATTATGTAAAGCCCATAATTGTAGTGGATATCGTCCAGCTATAAGCTCGGATTCCAGACGTTGGCATCTCTGGGGCTCCCTTCCGTTAGTTTAAGACCCTGAACCACTTGGCCCATTCTCTTGAATATTGGGCCTGAAATTTCACATACATCCCAAACCTTACATCCTCATACATCCTCCTTACTCTGTCTGCATAACCAGGGAGCTGAGTTGCCAAGTTGCCCACAACACGTTCAGAGTCTATACGACACAACGTGGCCACCAAAGCACTCCCCATCACTCCCCTTGCGCTGAGCATGCCATCCCCTTCCGGCGAGCCGACCGGAGTTGCGGACTGGTGTCCAAAAACCACCGGACCAGGTGCCGATCCTGGTTTATCCTTCGATCGATCCCCGCTTTTCGATTCCGATCCCCGTTCTTCGCAGCCATGGCACACTTGAGAACCACCTTCCAAGACCTCAGCGGACGCCGTGCCGTTCCGTCTTGGACGTCTGGGAGGTCTTTTTCGCCAGACATTGAGGGGTCGATGCATCAGGTACGTAGTACCGGGTAGTATTGGGTATCACTGGGTATCCCCTCTATTCATCTCTATTCATCAACCAAGCAAGGCCATGTTGTTTTACCTTTTTTGTTCGCCATCTGGAGTCTGGGACACCGGATGTTTTGACTTGGTATGTCTTGGAGTGGCCGGTATGGGCCTTATGGCACTGCCAAGCGCACACCATCTGACCATGTCGAACACATCAGAACACGTCGGCCCCATCCAACGAAACCATTGACTTACAAATGAACATGTTTCCCAATGGATGGGTTTTGCAGGATCGTTGGGATCCTGTTCACTTTGCTTGGTCCTTGAACCCTAGCGGTCCTGGAGCACTCCACCCACAAAGAGTTCACGTATACTGGCGATATCCTCCTTCCAAATTCCCGTAAAGCCTTCAAACAAACAAGGCATAGATCCGAATGGTGCCTCAACAAAACCCATGGGCAAACAGACACGGGCGCCCCTTTCTGACAATCACTGAGCTTTTTCCGAGCTCCCCAGCAGTTGGTGCGAAGAGCTTTTGACTGAACCAACGCCACACAGCAGCCCCTCCGCCATAGGCCTGGACCCATTCCGAGGGACCCGTTCAGAACACATCGCTTTTCGCTTGCAAGACACGCGCGGCGGACAGTCGGGCAGGGCGTTCAGTGTGGTTGACCCTTCGAATCGAATGGATGGGACAACGAGTCTGGAAAATGATAAAAAAGAAACCAAAGTCCAGAAAGTCTGGAGAAAAAGGAGTGACACCAACACTAGTGACACATACACATACGTATATACCTGGCGGTGATTGTTCTGCTCCTGAGGACACCAAGACGAACGAACACCCTTTCAAGGGGGGCTCACTGCGTATATAGAGGTACAACAACCTTGAGTCTCCAATGACCCTTTTAAAAAAGGTCTTTGGAGACTCAAGGAACATATATAATATGATGTAAGTTTAGCAACATTGCCCAAGAGAAACCAATTGTGACGGCATCCATTCCTGATAAGAGTCCGTTAGAGTCGAAAAGACCACACATCGCGTCACAAGGTTAGTTCCAAGCGTCCCAATGGCTTCGCAGCAAAGCACTCCGCATCTCCTGGTTCCAGGATGTTCGACAAGCACTGTCAGCAGAGTTAGGCCAATTCACTGTTGCCCCAGAATTAATGGGTGCAGTTTCAGCACTCACAAAGCTTCCGATCATCCTTCCACTATAAAAACTGTAGGAACCACAGAAGCCATCGATATCCATTTGATTTCCAACATCTCAGTGCTGCCTTGGCAGCCCGAAAACCGAGAACCCCTCCTGGGAAAACACCGGCTGGAGCAGCCATTTCGTTGCTTTGGCATATGAAAGCAAAGAAAGATCAAGCCAAACGTAAGCAAATCAATCGAAGAAAGCAGGTTGGAGGCATTGCAAATGGACAAGGCCTTTAAAAGAAGTTCACAGTGTACCAAAACGTTGAAGTGCACACTTTTGCAAAAAAACACAGAAGTACGGTAAATCGCAACAACAACCGTTGTAATTTTCACCGAGTGTATCCTTGTTGGCTGCCCGCTGGTAGTCAAGGTGAAAGGCCAAAAGCTTATTGCCTCAAAGCCGACTCAATTCCGAGTGAATCAACTCAGGGAGGACCCAACAAGGAGCAAAACAACCTCAGTGTACTCCCCCAAATACTCATGCTTTCTTGGATGAGTGATGGTTTTCATGATGGTTTTCACCTGTTTGGTATTCGGAATACCTTCAGGCCATGCCATCCGTAATTCCATGTGCAAGAGATCATCCTGTTGTTCCTCTTCGGCCCCAAACTGCAGAACGACTGGAGTACTTGGGTCGCTGAACCCCCATAAATATTACCCAGAAAGAGTATAAATAATACTAGTAGGAATCGCTCGAGTACTTTGAACCCATTTGACACCATTGATAGGACAAATCAGTTAACATCTTTCTGGTGGTTGGTACTCCTCGAAAAAGGTATCACTCGAGATCTGTTGACCAACAAGGCAAAGCTTCACCAACCGAATCGTTCTTCGCGCAGAGAAAGCTGAAGAGGGGATCCATCACCAAATAATGCATCGAAGATCACCTGAATTTGTGTTTCATGTTCTTGTAGATGATTGGAAATTAGATAATATGAAAATATATGAAAGTTAGATGATTTTCGCAGTTTCATCCTCTCGTGGTTCCAAACGTTCTTCCTCCTCTCGTGTGCTGCCTTCCGCCCGGCCGCACCGTCGTCACGCCGCTCTGCCGTTGCCCCCCCACTGAGCATGTCGTTGGCGACCGAGGCTGAGAGCTCCGAGGCCGGAAGCACCTCGAACACGGAACTCGTTCGGTTGGGTGAACCGGTTCCGAGTTCGGTGTTGGCGCCCGGTGTCAGGTTCGGTGTTGGCGCCCGGCCCCGGGCGACAGCCAACGATGAGAAATCAGCCCCTGTGTGTCGTAGATTCAATCGATGTCGGCTTTTGGGCCGCAAAGGACTAGTCGTCGGTTGGATGGAGTTATGATCGCGCAAACCAGCAAAACACCCGTTTCCAACAGGTTTGGGGCCTTTGCCCCTGGTCTGACTTAATTGTAATTCTGCGGCACTGAATTGTAAAGCACGTGTTGCAGAAGTTGTTTCCAAAACCTGCTGCAAAACTTCAAGGCTTCCAATGTCCCCATATTACCTCCATTCATCGTTCCCAAGACCTTTTTCTTCACACACTCGGTTGTTTTCTATCACAAAGCTGGAGGAAAAACACATGGTAAAACAACATCTAACATTATCTAACAAGTTCAAATCGGAAGACATCTTTTGGGCAAAGCAGCACCTTCGAAGGCCCCCGTGATTCCATCACCACTTGCCAGTCATAGCTTGGCCATTGAGAACTGTAAAGACACACACATCAACTCCAAAGGCTGCACTGAAGAAGGCGCGCCTTTGGGTCAAGGCCTGGATAGACTAAGAATTCCATGCCATCTAAGCAGTCCAAAGACTCAACTGGAGCAGGGCCATGTGTAATCATGGGTGTGATGGGATTCATGCACCGACGCCTGATGCTACACCTGAAGAACCTGTTTTGAGGTGATTCTCTTAAGACTTCAAGACATTTGAAGTGATCGCCTAGGTGCCTAGGTGCGATATACATGTGTACACCAAAAATGTTCAAGTCATCCTCTTGGTCATGTTCAGTTTCCACAGCAAAAATAAGAGATACTGATACTTGAAAACACATTGAGATAGTACCAGATACTCCAGGGACGTTTATCATGGAACGCGGCTGTAACTCCCAGTGCACATTAACATGGCACACCTGCCCGGTAGAAGTCCTGGCGTATATGGAAACCATCGGTCTGAGAAGAAAGGTCATTTTGGAGACTAACTAACGACAACTACACGGCCGGAATGAAAATTGGTGCACTAAAAAATGCTGCACCCAGGAGATGCAGCACCATGGAATGCGTATTCGAGTAGGCAAGATCGGAATCCAGCAACTGGAAATGATTCATGTTAGTCTCAACGTGTTCCAGGGAATCCTGCCAGGTACTCCCCAAGTTTGCTTTTGACAGTGTCTCCACACTACCACGGCTCGTTCCCATGATTTCCCATGTGTGTTTTTTACCTTTGAACTCCTACATTTCTCAGGTGTATCTTGGCTTTCTGACCCACTACATATCTGTCATATACTTTAGAGGTCAGTCTGTGAACCTGCTGGAGGCTCAAAGCTCAAACATCCCAAAGCAACACAGGGGATTGAAGCATTGTCCTGTAACTGTTTTGCTTGAGGCAATGCGGCAATAACCTGAAAAGGATCTACACACACTCATGACTCATGACTCATGACCGAGCACGAAAGTCTCTTCACACCATGTCAGTTGCCACGCCTGGTCCAAGGTGTCTAAAATTCGTTGCCACGCGCTCGCAGCCTTGACATCCCAAGCTGCAAACGTTGGCTGAAGATTTGCCTGCAAACCTGGATGCCCGAACTCAGCCTCATGTTGTTCTGGGTGACAAGAATGTGTCCTAACCCCCAGTGAGTGTTCTTCTGTGGGGGCATTTTTTGCTTCGCCCAGCGCGATCGCCACCGTCACATCAACTGTGACTGCTCCAAGCGGTCCAACCAAAGATGGGTATTGAAAAAAGGAACCTACCAGCAGTCACAAAGGGGTGGTATTTAGTCCCTAAGTGAGTGGATAATGGGCACCCCTAACCTCCATTAAGCACCCCTTTGTGACTGCTGGTAGAAAAAACCATCTCGCCACCTGTCGTCTCAGCACCTTGCTCCAGTTCCCCAGTCCCGCGGCGTCCATGCCGAGCAGCTTCCACGTAGCGGTTCAAGCCTCACGCATCCGTGTGTGGGTCATGAACTCGGAAACAAAACACCTTGGGCGGAACTACGCCGCAAAGCTCAACCAAAAATAGGGGGTATGGGGTATGTCCCCCCAAAAATTGATCGGGAGGAAAAGACCAGGCACTTGTGGCCACCGCTGGCAGCTCTCTGCCGTCGACTGAGCTGCGCGTCTCTGCCGTCGACCCATTGGGGGCGAGACGCCGTCGCAGCAAACATCCGTCCGTCGAACGACCGGGGGATGAGCGGTTCTCAGTTCTGTGTTGGTTCTCGTTGGGCTTCACGGTCGGATACTGTTTTGATGTTGTTTTCATCGTCGATCTTTTGGATTGAGCGGTGGAGACGCCTCGGCCTAGGCATGCGGACCAGTCCGCGGCGATGCTTCCGCGCATGGGGCACGAATTCATCTGTTCTGCGACTTTCCGAAACTGTGGTTCTTTCATGTTCTTTCCGATATTCCTCCAGGTCGTTTGCTACATGGACTGGTCGGGCTCCGAACGATTTATCTCCAGTTGGCCTGGAGATGCCGCCTTTAGCCTTTCTCACAGTGTTGCTTCTTGATGCTTCTTGGCTTTCACAACAAATCTAAGATTTCCAACTCGCATCGAATTCAACTCCGCCCAAAACACAAGTGTAAGCAAGCTGAGTCGTACTAGCACCGACGGTAGCCCCCAGAAAGGCCTTTCAATTTCGGGTGGTGCTTAATTATATATTATATATATATTTATAATTTATATCATTTTATATCTATATATTTCAGCTTGACACACTCCATGTATTATACTCTACATTGACTACATTGACCCCTCTTCAATTACCTCAAGTCCCATAGGTCGTGTTTGGATGTGATTTGGGATAGACCTACACGTCTGGACATCGATTCCCGTGATTCCGGCGCCTCGCAGGCTCAAGGCATGGCCCCGAAGCCTGGAACAGCGGCGCCGGCAGTGGCGCGGGTTCCGCGAGCCGCGCGACAGCCGCGGCTCCCGCCGCACGTGCGGCAGCCGCGCGACAGCCGTGGACCTTACCATCTCCGGATTTGGATGGTTTGAACTCTCCAAGTTGGAGAAATACGGCCAACCTCCGGTGGTCTACGATGGTCTACGTCTGTTTCGAACACCAATGTCGGGACCTGCATCGGCACGTGAACCCCATGGCCCCCCTCAAACCAAAACACTCAAACAACCAGCTCCTTTACAGCGTCTGGGGCAAAACTTTACAACATGAAACCAAGGACGTTGTCCCGGAACGTCCCCCCTCATTATGCATAACATGCAGCTTGTAACAGGCTCAACAGATGTGTGTCAATGTCGGAAGGCTTGACAGGCCATTTACAGATCCTTCCTCCATTCCCCCACCCTCGGAGCCCGACACATTGGCCAGACCGGCCAGCAACAAGGCCTGCCCAGGACATCAATCAGCTGCCGAAACAACACCCATTGGGCCACTGGTGTCTCCATTGCAATATTAAACAACAAACACACCCACATGACCCCAACTGATCCCATATGCCCATATAAGACCCATAAAACATGGACCCTCCCATAATGGCACACATGATGCCAGCATAGACCCTAAACAGTTTCGGCATCAGTGTCGACTCCAGGAATTCTGTTTGTAACGTCCGCCAGCAACGAACCCTACTTCAGGCAGACAAAAGTTTACGCTTGTTAGCCTTCTTACAAAACACGCTGAGGTCAGCGGCGGATCGCATTAACAAGTCTAATTTTGGTGGCAGGTGTGGGACGGTCAATTCTTGCACCCGTTTAATTTTGTAATAATAATAATAGGCTTTCCGGGGTGACAAATGACCGCCCACACCTTCCCTTGTCTCATGGTATAGGATTCTAGGGGGATAGGGTTGTCATGAGTTTCAACATCAACAAGCGCAACTTTCATCTGGCCAGTGTATAAACACAACATGTGAACGAAAACAAATGGTTCCTGATGTGCACCGTAAAGACAGGTTCCTGTCATGAGAAAAACCCAGAAAATGATATCACATGAAATGCTGCATCACTGTTGCATTCATGGCCACACGAAAACCTAACTCGACAAGGCGGTGGAGAAAGGGAAAGCAGCGCCACGCAGGGGCCAGGGGCACCAGAAGAGTCGCATATGCACGCGCGAAGCGCTTCGCGGCGTGCGAAGACAGGAGGAGTCGGGCTAGCGCCGCCAGTCGAGACGCCCCAAAGCCAGTCGACTCTCCGGACACGACAAGGAGGTCGACTACATGCAGGTCGACTCCAACAGGGAAGAACTCCATTCCACGGGCTGTTTAGCCGCCCAGCGCCAGGCCTGGAGGGCGTTCTGCCGTTGGAAGCTCTGGCTCTCAGCGCTCTCCAGCCGCTCGAAACCACCGCGCAGCAAAGCCTTAATGGCTTGGGATCCCAGGCCGCACAGTTCCCCCGTATGGCTTCGGGGGGAGAGTGAGAGTGAGGGAGAGGAGTTGACCAGGAAGTGTGCGTTTTTTAAGACGAGCAATCCCAAACACTCCATATAGAATTCAAACATCCACCCCATAAAAATCACCCCATATCCATCATGATCCATCGTAAGGAGGCGATTTCGTGGGTAACTCTTCCAGTCCCGGAGTGTCTGGACATCGTTCTGCATCTTGCGATCGTTCGACCTTCGAGTCTTCGACCCTGGCATGTCACGGACCGGACACAGACTGGTCCCAGATGGGCGGCGCCCGGTCTGAAAAGGATAAGTAACTCATTCTGGAATCCGGACCTGCCATTCCTATCGTTTCCGGATTGCAGGTGTTCATGCATTCCGCACTGATGTTCCGAGAGAAGGCATGGGGAGGGATCAGGTTTATTTGAGTTCACATGAGGACACATGCATGTTTCATTTTGGGAGAGCTACAGTGGTTTCAGAGTAGATGGCACAGACCCCGAGATGTCCTTTAGATGGAGCCTGGAGGCCCATAAATCACCGTTTGGGGATTGTGCCATCTACTCTGAAACCACTGTAGCTCTCCCAAAAAGACACGAAGACTCTCAAGTCCGCTGAGATCTCAGTCCCCCTGCCATTCGCTGAGCGGAGAGCGGCGGCGTCGGTAACTGGTCAGAAGCCAATGGTCAAGGGAGGCAAATTCAAATGGATCCAAGTTGATGCTAAAGGACAAACTTTTCTTGAGCATATATGTTTGCTACTATGTTTGCTCCAATTTGTTGCAAGTGTTCGGACATGTGCTGACACCAGCCCTTCCAGATTCTTGCTCTGGCTGGATCCCATCAAAGCATCCAACCGTGAATGGATGCCAGGTTTGGATGACCCCAAAAAACAATCCAAAAGATTCCAAAAGGCATTCCCGTAGTTTGCATGCGGTGTGCCGCGTTTTTCTACATCAGGGTGTCTCAGTGACACACACTGCCACGAAGTATGAATGATTCATGAATTGTCACCTGAATTGTCTCGCAATTGAATATACATATATATAATATATATCGGTGTGTATTGGAATATTGGAGACCCCTCAGTTCGACCGCTGGAAACATTCAACAGAAAAAAACAAAAACCATTGGGATTGGGGAGGTCCCCCCATGTTAAATTCCAGGTTTTGCTTACGGTTGTTGTCTATTTTTCCCTATGGGTAAATCCCCCTTACGGTGAATTCCCTGTGACCTGCCTTGCTTTCGTTCCCCCGAAGACTCAAACACGTTCACCCGTTCGTCAGCGTTCCTCCATGAAGATTCCCGTGAACGTGCGAGGCGCCGACGGAGTTCGGCTTCGAACCTCAACTGGTCCTTAAGATTCGTGGAACACCACCGATTTCATAGCTTGAATTCGGAACGACCATTGTTTTACTATAAGCTTTTTACAATCTTTAAACTACATACCAAAACCAGGTCAAGCTTTCGCCTCGTAAACACATGTAAGCACTGGTCCAGCCTCGTAAACAGGGCGACCGGTACAGCCTTCTGTGCTCAGGACACCTGTTGCAAGAAGCAAGCTGGGAGTCGGAATACCAGCTGTGGACATCTGCAAAACATATTGGAAAGCAACTACAGTGGTTTCAAAGGTTGATCGTAGAAAAGGATAACTCTTTTCTTTGGTTTTTTGAGGGATCGACTCGACTGTATGAGAAAGTGATTGTCCCAGGTGCTGTTTCATTCACTTTTGGGGGATCAAACATGATGATCCATGAACACACAACCTAAGAGGAGGAACACACTCTCAATTAGATCAGCAAGATAGGCCCAAGATCAGTCTGCAAGGCACAAAGAGAAGGTCTGTTGAACATGGTGGGCCAATCCAAAGCCCAGTGACTTGCCACAGACATGTTGACAAGTGTCCGTATACTGATCTTCAGGATCGAGTTCCACTCATTTTTTTTGTGGCTTTACGGTGAACAATGCACATCAGAAAAGGAAAGGTCGCTGATGTTTATGTTTTTTTTCCGGGCTCCCACATCGGCCCTTGCCTCTCAAAGTTGGAGACGACCGGTCTCTCTTGTCGACAGTGGATTGAGAGTAGTTGGATGGTGCCAAGTTACTCCAAGTTTGGGGACGCCACAACATAGACCTCCATCACGTTCAACTATATATCTTATTATATCTTGGGGTGCTGGGGTGCCACCTACTCTGGAACCACTAGTGTAATCCAACAAGACTCCCAGAACCATTGGCGATCCCATCACACACACTCTGCCCAGCCAGCACGCGATCCCAGAACCGTGATCGCGGCGGCGGAGCGAGCAGACCTTTGTGTAGCGTCTCTGCTAAGAACTGGTCCTTAGCACATGCGAGATGTGCGGAGTGAGATGTGCACTCTGCAGAGTGCTCCGACGCACGAGCCACTGTTCAAGTTGGAACCCAGGCCGGATCCACATACCCTCTGAGGGGACGGTGATTCATACAGACGTGACTAGGAAGTGGAGACTGCAAAGCAAAGGCGTGTTGCCAAGTGATGCAAATGTGGCTAACTGTACTGCAGGATGCTACAGGTATGCCAAGCTGGAAGTCAGGCCGCTTTCAGGCTTCGCAACCATTGAACCTACCCGAGGTTTGAGGACTAGAGAAGAACAACATATAAAGGACCATCCAATGGATGTCCAATGACGATCCCTAAGAAATCTAGGGTAATTAGTCCAGCCAGGACACCCAAAGGGTCGGATGGTCCTGACATGGATATGAATTGGTCTTGTGGACATGGGCCTCACATGGCCTCACTAGATGCTCCGCAACACGAACTCCCGTTCAGAACTCCCACGCGGCTAGTGATGACCGACGGAAAACCCGAGTTGCGGACCATCAAATTATCGGCTTTGGTGGCAACAGCCTGCCGGCAAGCAGGGTTCACACATGCATTGATCCGCATGGATTGAGTCCACCGGTGTGTCCTCTGACTCTAGCCGGTATGTTGGTAAAGATGACAGAATGAACCTGACTCACTAGTGGGCCAAATCTCACGGTTTCACCGCGTGACTGAAAGTCAGTACACTTGGAGCTCACTGCTCCATGAAACAGCGACGGCTCGATGGTGTGTTTTTGCTGACACACAAGCACTTCGAGCTCAGTTCTTGACATGGACCAGAGTGAGTTTTGAGTGTCTTCAAAAGATCCGCACAACTGAACTAGCCAACTCACTTTCTCAGATTGAAAAAACTATGTGTTTTTAAGGTAGGACCTGCAGCATCTGGGGTTCCCAGAACGCACATAAAACGACCTGAACAACGACCTTTGCTCCGAGATTTGGTGTTCCAAAATGCATGTAAGCACACTGCTCCAGGTCTTCGTCCTCATCGTCATGGGGATGGCTTTCGTTTGCTGTCGCCGGATATCATCAGGAACATGCTTCTATATTCTTGGCTTTCATCACCCCTGGCTATTTGCCCTCTGCCCATCTCTCCTCAGTGCGCTGGGCTAGGTCCTCCCCTTGACCTCGGTTCCACCCGTGGCACGTCTGCGGGTCGAGTGAGCGAGGTGCGGAGGGGATCCACCCACCGTGCTGATTTCGCACAGCTTGGAGGATCTGGGAGGATCCTTCCTGTCTTTGTTTGCTCATGATGCCATCATGGTTGTGGTCGCTGTTTAGAACAAGGAGTTTGGCCCAGCCAATCTGCCAATGACTTCGGAGCCCGCAGCGTCTGAGTCTGAAGCCCTCTTGGATCGCGTCAGAGGCCTGCCACGACGGGCGGGATCAGAAAACAGAGTAGGGCATGGTAGGTCGGGAGGGTTCCAGTGTTCTCTGCACACGAGTCACAAGTCACAACAGTGAAAGCTGGGACCTGCCTGACACGACCCGATAGTACAATGCCAGGACTCATCCTCATCTTTTCTCGGGGTCCGTTCCTGGTTCATCCTTGCTCGTGGTTCATCCTTGCCGAAGGAATCCTCCATCCGACCTCCTTCAAGAGCTCTTCAATCTCTACTCGGTGCTCACCACAAACGGCCTGTGACATGAACAACGGACTGGGGATGAACCCGGATGCGTCGTGACTGAACCATGGAGGATGATAGGTTCTCGTCATGCCGCGGACGATAGGTTCTCATGCCGTTTCGATCAATGCCGGGAATCGTTGAAACGTCATGACACCCCTGGTCTAAGGTAACCATCTGTCGTCACCCTTAGGGACTCCAACATTTGTTGCGGCAAGAATCACTGTCTGCTTAGGATGAAACAATCACATTGCAGCAGGGCTCTAAACATAGCGTTTGTACGAACCATTACCTTCTTTGCATGTCAAAGCCCTTTGGATGTAAGAGCTATGAACTCGACAGCACCAAAGAACATCACCCCAAAAGAATAATACACGGTACATGCAATGTAGATACATACTTACCATGAGGCACAGTACACACTCCTGGGATCCAGTGTTGTGTCCAGTCTTGCTACAAAGATGTACAAAGACGTGATAAGCATATAATCATCCAAGAGTTTCAAAGGGGTTGGTTAGGGGTGCCCCATTAGCCACTCACTTATACTAAACACCACCCCTTTGTGACCCCTGGATGATAGAAGTTTTTTGTTCACAGGAATTTCTCCATGTTTCTCCTCTCGAGAACCAACAAAAGTTACCAAAATAGGGAGACGTTCCCAACCACTGGATATTTGTCGACATGTGTCCTTGTCGCAGGAGGAGTCTTTTAGGACCACTTGCAGCTTGATCCATCCCCATCTAACCCGCAACTGCGAGGCCACGATCCTATACATTATCTATATATGGTCCTGGGTCCTCCTTCTTCGCTCAACGAATCAAACGTCTTGGGAAGTGACATCGATGTGTTCCCGAACGATGGAAGCGGAGCTAACACAGCGATGTCCGACCGGATGTCCTGGGGCATGCCATCCACGAATCCACCATGACCCAGATGCGACGCTCCATGGGACTGCCATAGGACTGCCGCCCCATTGACCCCCCAAAAGCACCCCAATGTAGGCATATATATGGCATAACATGGAGTTGTTCTTGTGATGATTTCAGAGAGTGTTGACACAGGACTCACAAATAACCTCCCCCTACCTCCCCCTATGAATCAAACCAGCTGCCAACGTTCTATCAAGCAATGTTTTGTTCCACAATCCCCGAAACTCTCTAGCAAAATTACCTAACTGTCCATAACTTTCCCTTATGCATTAAACTTCTATCAACATCTGAATAGGTTTACAAAGGGTACCTACCTCTCACACAGGCCTCATGGTTCACACAGAATCCCATCAACCATCATCCATCATCAAATCATCACATTTATTCAAGGGATCTGGCACCAAGAATCTGGTGACCTTGTTGACCTTGAAGGGGGGGGTGATTTATCACTGCTGGGTTCACTCGGCCACCCTCATCAGTCCTCCAGTGTACTCCGTAGAACGAGCGCACGCCTCCTCAAGGACGCAACGCTCACAGCAGCAGTGGAAGCCATAGGTCTCCTCAAGACCCGAATCAGACTCGAATCGCACAATTGGCGCCATCGCCTGCCCCTACCCCAGTTCCCTAAATCAACATTGCCAACATCAAGGAAGATGGTCTTCCAAACCATCTATGTTTCTTTGAAGGAGTGCAGCTACGATTCAAACGCTGATGTTTCATATCCTGGCGATGTCAAAACCGCAGCGAAACGGAAGGTGCTTTGAACACTAGAACACTAGAATCCCAGTATTATATACCACTATATAAGGAACCAGGGATTCTAAATCTATGGTTTTAGTATGTTTTAGTCTTTGGAACCACTGGTTACCAGCTAAAGTAGTAGTAGATGCCCTGGAAGCTGCATTTGACCGCAACGTCGCTTTCTCCATGAGTACAAGCCATCTGCCTTGATCGGACCAGTCCTGACCACCAAACAGAGTCGAAGAGCTTCGTCAACTTGTTTTGTGCCGCAAAAAGGGCATCCAGGCAAACCACTAAAAATAGCTGGGAGTCCCAGTGGTTCCAGTTCGACTAAAACCATAGACCGAACAAATCTGCGGTTCCTTATATATATATATATGTACCTGGAGTCTCAGCTCGTACCTTGGAAAATGGGTACAGTCGTACCTGGACTCTTATGGGGTCATGTCCCAGGCTTCTAAGGTACTGGGTCAGTCGGGTCCAGGGTCCGTGGTTTGCCTGGGATGTGTTGTGATTTCGATCGTGATCGGATCGGTGTGATAGATCTATCACCCAAGCACTCCAGATGACTGGCACTCATTTACCTATACATTTGGTTATTTGGGGGGCTGTTCATCTGGAAGAAACACATAAAAATAGATACTCTGGTTAGGAGGTACCATCATCAAAATAATCAGAATCGTGTGAAATTGCATCATCTGCTCCCCAATACTTGGCAAGTCATGCCACAAAGCATATTGCAACTATGCAATCATTGGATTGAAATAATCGGTCACAGTGGCCAAACACCATGAACAAAAGAAATAAGGGGAGCAATACGGGCGATACTTCCGTTGTATGGGGGCAATACGTGGCCCTACGCCAGTCTCAGAGACAATCCATGTGCGCAGAACGGCCAGGTGCCCGTACCAACGCGGCTCGACGTTGCCAGAATGGCCTGGTGACTGGGGCAGTCGAAGGAATCACCGTTGAGGTGCTCCAAAACCTGTCAGAAGAATCGATCGCATTTTAAGGGATTCGGGTGCACAAGGTATCTCAAGGTTTTTGGGCTGGTATTCATGCGGTTTTTGATGGGTTTCTTGATGATGCAACTGTTGGTGTATCTGGTTCTTCAGTTCATGACTAATTAAGTTCTCCCCCTAAGAGGCCCCACTCCACGAAAATTCGTGGAGTCAGGGTCACGAACAGAAGCTGGTCGCTTTGGGATCTTGGACTACACTCCCTGAAATCGTTAATTTCGTGGATGGCAGTGGCAGGTTTCCCCGAAGACTCAGATCACCAGGAGTCTCCCGAAGACCAAACAGTGTGGTGGCGAACTTTACTTATAACCCTTACAATGGATTCACATACCCTCTAAGGTACGGTGATGTGTTCGACACTTCTACCTTCCAACTTGGAGAATGCAGTCGCACAGAACCTGAGAAAGTGACGAAGTGGCCCCAGGGAACCATGTGACTGGTTCCGAAGATACACTGAGACTGCGACTGCAAAGTCTCCACGTAACCTGACGAGCCCAGCGCTGGATCAAAAAAGAAACATGCGGAAGGTTATGATGCCAAGCGCACCACCAAGTGGTACGTAAAGCATATGCAAAAAAAACACCTGCCGATATATTTCAACCCGGTATACCAGACTGGTGTGAAATCTGCTGGGGCACTCGTGTGAAGACCAGTGTTAGCAACGAGTTGTTGGGTCTCAACACTTCGGTGTGGACCCTGGACTGGGTGCAGAAAAAAGCACCTGGACAAACGCTCAAAGACTCAATGTCAAGCTCTGCGAAACGCTCCTCAGAGTGCGGCTATCGAAGATCTCTTCCCCGGACTTGAGGTCTCGACCTGAGGTCGATGCTGAGTGATGTCACCCGAAGACTCAAAAGGTAAGAAATATTGTTTAAGATATAAAGGATCATGATGCTACAGCAAGTTTGCCAGGATTCGCCTGGTCAACAAGACCGAAACAACACCAAACATACTGGATGGTTCAAACCCATTCGATCCGTGTATGGAAAAAAACATAGCCGCCCGATTGACCTCTTTTCAACCACCCCAATGTCGGAAAAAATGCCAGTCCCGTGCAGTGTCTGGGTCATGAAGTCAGAGTGATCAAATTATCCCCTGCTCAATTCAAGCATGTTTCCATCTTGTTCCTATCCACCAGTAACACTGATGGGATCTGATGGGTCATTTGGTTGTGTGAAATATTGTAAAAGTGGCATCATATGACATCATAGTTCGCAGGTGACCAGCAATTTGTTAAGTCTTCGGTTCAATCAAATAGTGAGACTTAATACGGTTCAGTTGACCGTGATGCAGGTCCTTCTTAAACTTGCAAGCTGAATCTGCTCATAAGCTGTGGCGGCGATGCTGACGCCGGTTGCTGCGGTCATAGCGGCGATTGCCACGGAAGTCACTGTATGGCTTCATTCTTGGATGTCGTCGTGGTTGTGGTGGTCGTGATATCTGGTGCGGTAGTGGTGACTGCTTCACAGCAGTCAGCAAAGCTGTCTGGGCCACCTCCATCAGAATGACAGCAAATAGGTTCGCGAGGGATGCCACCACACTTTGTCTTGTTGGCTGGTATGCATCCAGCAGAGAGAATCGCATCTGGCCCTTGGTAGTCGCATTCGTCCGAGCTCCGCTTCTCAACTGCCAAGCCCTGCACGAAGCACCTGAGAGAGCTGGTGAGTTCTTGTCCTCCTGAGCTTCCGCATCCGTTGGGATCTGGCGCCCCACGGCAGTGAAAAAGAAAGGTGCCGGCGGGTAGCCGTGACGGAATAGCCAGTCCAGACCAGGACCAGTGATGGGCACAGGTACAGCGATGGTGGTTGTGGCGGTTGCGAAGACCAAACTGCAAATGCATGCAAATGCAGCGAAGTGATGCAAAGTGTGGTTTTTCTGCAACTGGATCCAAGAGAAAGCTACTTATAATGCCGTTTCCTTCCCCAAAAAAGCTTCGCCTCGCGCGGGCCGGTCCCACTTTTCAGGGTGGTCTCATTGCGGTCCCTCTGAGACTCCCCAACCAGCACGCAAGAAGAGGCAGTCCAAAACGATGCTTCGCTGCACCTCGCTGCGTCTGCCCGGTGCTTCGCCCCGGGTCGACCGGGGCGTCCACCGGGGCGGACGTCTGCAAGCCGACGGCCGACGGTTTCTGGGCGTCAGAAGTGATCGGATGTGGGAAAATCCGAGCTTGGGGTCCCAATTCATACCAAGACCATCCAAGACCCCCATGACATGTCACTATGGACACGTGCGATCCGAAAACAGGACGCCTGACACACGGCCACATAGGCTGTTTTCCGAAATCAACGAAACCTTCCTCCGCACATGAGTCAGTCGGAGCTTGACTGCGGAAGGCTTCTTAAGCAGAAAGGGAGATCTCTGAGGGCGTCCGATCTTGTCGTGGTGAATCAAGGGTTGGTTCATGTTGGTTCCCTTCGCCTCTTCCAAAGCTAGAACTTGGCGGCTTCGGAAAGCGCGTTCGGCACAAGCATTCGAAAAAAAACCTGGCATTGCCCTTGAGGCAGGTGACCATGTTCAGAAACCACCCACATGGAGTTGGGTTGTTATGGAGTCTCATCCAGGGCACCCAACTCCTTCCTCCGTTCGTTGCCCCACCAGCTCTGTGACTCCTGGTGCCACTCGTGAAAACACCACGACTCCACTCACAGTCCGTCCGAAGGCGGCGGCTGGTGGCCCCCGCATTCGGCAAGCAGGAGTGGTTCACGAAGACCGGCAGCAGCCAAAGTCCGGATCTCTCCAAATCCTCAAATGGGACTGAACGCGGCGGCAAAAACCCGTCCAACTTTCCCAGTGAACAAGTTGCTGGAACCAGAACCAAAGACGTGGAACCAAACGATTCACCAGAAGTGGATTGGGGATTCACCCCGGAAAACAGATCTATACTTAAAAGCAAAAACAATGGTACTGTCTACAGGCAAGTAACCAGGTCCACGGCTGATAGACGGCCGTGGTGTAAATCAATGATGGTCGTGGATGAATCATGTCGAAATGGTCCGTCTATCAGCCGTGGGCCAACTACTCCAGCCCCTTTGGAGTCGTGTTTCTTCCGGAGCATCAGATATCCGACCGGATCCGAAGCGCGGAAGCGCGGTCCGAGAGCCAATAAGCGTCATGAGCGAGTTTGCTGGACACCTCCACCCCGAAAACAACCCAGCTGTTGATACTTTTTAATGATATATGTGTGGTTGGATTTTGTTGGCAAGATTGCCATATATTCAAAAAATAGTGTAGAAGACATATGCTTGCTTGAGGTCCTGGTACTTAAAGTTTTTGGCATCCCCAAATGCCGTAAAGTGTCTTAAAACATTTGGGATCTGAATGGATTTAAGCCTAAGCTGATCTAAGAATGCACAGGAGAGTAGGGGAGAATCACAAATCTTATAGATCCGTACCTGAATTCCCAAACACACTCTCTTGCTTCTCCAAGTACATGCATTTTCCCACGGAAAACACGACCACATCATCGAATGATTAATTGGGTGGAGACTCCAAACCCCTGGAAAATATTTTCAAAAAGAAAGACTGAACGAAAACAGTAGCAAGAGATATCTGAACAATGCATCCATTTGCCTCGTCGCAATTGTCCTTCCTTTCGCATGCAAAGAATTCCTTCAGGAAAGAAAACATCTTAAAGAGTGTCTATTGGTCAAACAGAGACTTGAGATGACTTGAGTACACATATTCCTTTCCCAAGTTTCGTTTTTATTATTGAGATGTGTTGTTTCTTTCAGCTTTCTCTTAAGAATAATATCTGTCTATATCTGTCTAATATTGGCAAGTCAATTCCTCCATAGAGGCTCACTCCTCATACTTGTGTAGCCAGGTACTACAAAAGTCCCAGTTCTCCATATCTCATCCTCAAAACAACGCATGTCCCGTGCAAGAAAAACACCAATAGTTGAAAACATGCCATCCTGCATGGTGTCTTCCAATTCCCATATTAATTCACAAGTGCTAGTTTGCATTCTGACCAGTAGAGAGTCTTTAAATCTCTTCATGTTGATCTTTCCTTGCTGATATGACTTATTTATATCCTTTCTCCAAGCAAACTCTTCCAGGTCTCACTGCTTTGCCTGCTCAAAAAGGTTTTGTTGTTTAATTTTATAGTTGAACTGGATTTTGCAAACATGTTCCTGAGAATATCGAGAATCCTCTTGGCTATTCAGCTCTATTGATAGTTGGTGCACTGCTCAGTTTGCTTCCCTGCTTATACAAATGATTTATGTCGCATGTCATGCTCACACACACACACTGATCTTTTTAATCGACTGTAAACTATCTTCAATCAATGTGTAAGTACCTGGAAACCATTTGTAAACGACCTGAAATCTAGGTTCTGGAGGGAATTAGATAGATAGATAGATCGATAGATAGATAGGTTAGACAAATAAGATAGAGACGATAGCTGAGATACATAATACAGCTAAGAAAGCTAAGATAGATAGAAACAACAAAATAGACAATGATAGACAAACAAATAGATAGAATCATGGATGGATGGATGATTGAGAAGATTTCAGGATTGACCTAGACGCCAAAGATACTACTGTACCACTGAGGTCTTCCCAAAGCACATTTGCCCTCATAGAGGTCCCACAATTGAGCTCCGACATCTGCTCCGCTCGCTTCACGAGCTGCTCAAACACCAAGCACCTACTGTATGAGCACATAATGTGAACACCTTATACACGGTAATGTCCAATATCGTATATCTACTACAATACCCAATCAGAATCAACCCAAAGACCTTGATCGACTCTTTTCCATGAATGACCGCCCCAAAACCAACGAAGGTCAAGCAAGAACAAGCAGGGAACCTTCTGGAGATCCAGATTTTGACCAACCCCCCAAGATCACAAGATCACCAACCAAATCCCTGACAAACATGCACCAAAACCATCCAAAACCCGTGTGTAAGCAACCGAACTCACCGTATCTGGTGGCAGTCTCACGATTTTTCCAGCACGGACTCCACGGTTCCGGCTGTGTCTTCGGCATTGCCACCAGGCAGCGTTGCCCACTTCGACGGGCGCCGCGTTGGGATTCACCAGGGGAAGACTGAACCTCAGAACTGGACTGAGCCGGTTCGGCGAACAAACAGGTCTATCAGTGAAGCAAACGAACTAACCCGGATCTGAGGAAGGTCATACTCCGCAATGACCCAAGGTTATCCATGGTCCACTTTTCCTGGGTGGGTCAGGAAGACGCAACATGGGCACACTAGGGGACTGCAAATAGTCACTGGTCCTGCAAACAACTACGTACACTCTAGTGTGGAAGAAGAATCCCCTTAATGTTCAATCCTAAATAGTCAAGTGGGCGTGAATCATCAAGAATCGCACTAGAGACGTATCCAAGCATAATAACTAATAATAACGTTCTATTGTTCTGCTACTGCTGCCCTTTAAGATCCTTGCTCAACTCTTCTGAGGATTGCTTGGTGCATGAAAATCTTACCTGAAAACCTTTTTCAAACACCCTTATTAAAACTCTTCGATTTCATTGCTCCAAACAATTCGCCAAGGGGTTATTACGCAAGCCCAGGGGAAGTGAATACAGCGAATTGTTTACGGGGTGGGATTACATAACAAGTAAACGTGTAGCTACTACAGCAACAACAACTATTACTACAACAACCACTACTATATCCCACCTCTACTACTTCTACTACTGCTACCACTACCACTACTACAAGTATTACAACAAAAACTACTACAACTACTACTGCTACCACTACCACTACTACAAGCACTACAACAAAAACTACAACAGCAACTACAACTACTACTGCTACTACTACGAATGAATACCACTACCACTGCCACTACCACTACCAATACCACTACTACTACGACGACTACTACTACTACTACGACTACCACTACCACTGCCACTACCACAACAACTACCAACACCACTACGACGACGACTACGACTACGACTACTACTACGACTACTACTACTACTACTACTGCTACTACTACCACGACTACTACCACTACCACCACTACCACTACCACTACTACTACTACTACCTGCTACTGCTACTGCTACTGCTACTACTACTCTGCTACTCCTACTACTACTACTACTATAACTACTAACTACTAACTACTAACTACTAACGACTAACTACTATCTACTATCTACTATCTACTAACTACTACTAACTACTAACGACTAACGACTAACGAATAACTACTAACTACTATCTACTATCTACTAACTACTACTACTACTACTACTACTAAAACATTTTCATGCTAACCAGGTAAGAGATTACAATCAGGATAGATATTCAATTCAGATAGGGACCCACGACTACCCCAACCCATCCACGCGCTGCGCTGCGGCGGCTGGAGCTCACCACCTGCTATTTTCCATCGGCCGGGAGTCCAAGGGATCCAATGGGTCAGGGGTCTCTACAAAATTCAGTCAGCTGGCTCAGCTGACTTCCTCGATTTCATCGATTTCCTTTGCCTCTTCTTCCTCACCTTCTTCCATGCCATCGGCTTCCAATGTGGACTTAGTACGGTCCACATCGGCCCCGTCACTTGGTTCAGATGCCTTTGGCAAACTCTCACGGCTGGCTCCATCAATCACCCTCACCTTACTCAGCATCTTTGCCTCAAAGGAAGCAGTTATTAGTTTTGAGATGCTTTGAGCGAATCTGTGGCGGTGATGGTTATGGTTGGGTAGCCAAGAAACACATACGGTCTTCACCTCTTCGAGCTTGGTGCCGTCGAGCAGCATTTTGTGACCCACATCCTAGATATGGGGACAAGTTCATGAGATTTTGATCTAAAGAGAGCAGAAACAAAGCTAAGTTTACTGCGATTATTTGTTTGAGAGGATCTTTCTCATCAGCGTCCGCACTGGATGCAGGGTAGATGACTCCACCAACCTTGAATGGACAGGAAAGTGGCATGCACCACAAAACCTAGACCAAAACAGGTTAAAGAACTCTGACATACTGTTCGTGAGAGCAAGTTCAACCTTGACAATTGAAGCCTGGTGCGCGGTTAAGCAACCCGAAGAGACTCCTTCCCGCAATACTTGCAAGCCCACTGGTTGGACCTTTTGTAGAAGTAGGGGTTCCCCACAGCATTGCCATTTGGATCAGTGCCTGCCAAGAAGTACGGGTTATCCTGAACCTTTGGACCTTTGTGTTTCACAAAAACTACAGTGTCCCACCTGTTGGTTTTTTTCCCTTCCTGTTCGGCTTTGCATCTTCCTTTTGCGCTGACGATGCCTTCTTTACAGCCTTCTCCTTTTCCTTTACTGGGGCACCAGACGGTTCCGGTGCCCCCGTCTCCTTCTTCCTCTTTTTGCTGGATGGTGTCATGTTGGCGGCCGGTGCTTTCATTGGCTTCACTTTCGCCTTTGCTTGTGCTTTAGCCTTGGCCTTGGCTGCAGCTTTTGGTGTGCTTCGCGGGGTGCTCTCTTTCCCCTCTGTTGTGACCTCCGCCTTCTCCTTACGCGCTGAGGCGCCACCTCTCCCTCGAGCACGGCTACGACGAGTTTCACTGCGACCACGCCCACGAGCAGGCTTCGACCCCGAAGACGGTGTGGCGGTGGAAGGGTGTGTGGTTGGTGTCTTCTTCCTTTTTCTTTTCTTTTCAGGTTTCTTACTGCCACCAGGTTCTCCACCCTTCACCAGCTCAGATTGGGGCTTGGTCTCCTGCACGGGGGGTGATTAAAAGGTAAAGTTCAAAATTAAGAGAACCATGAGCAAAGCAACATATGCATTGTTGTCGCAAGACCTTGTGTTTGCGCATGATTGCCTGTAGTGTTCTGTTTTGTTTACTAATTGAAAAAGCCTATCAAGCAGTTCAAACCCTATCCTCATCTTCCTCGCTTTCTGTCAACTTGTCCACAGCGGACAGGATAGTCATTGACTCCACTTGCAATGACAGACTGTGGGGGCAGAAAAACAGAAGAGCTGCGGGAACACCACAAATTTCGACCAATAGTGCAACATCAGTGCGATGTTGGGGTTCCAAAACATAAACTCAAAGTCTCAAAGGCAACAAAACATTTTGCCATGTTGCCGCCATTCCTTCCCATAGGGTCGCTCTATCTACAGGTTTGATCGAAGCGGGTTTGAGAGATAAAGTTGTGCTTGACTCCATGGATGTCCCCAGGCAACCATAGGCAACCAACAAGTTGGACAGTGAGCTATCCATGAATCATTTAGGATGCCAAAACTCCATCCGCCTACAGAGTCCAAGCACCATTCCCAAAGACTTTCGAGGCCCACTTAGGCCCAAGTCTTTCAAAGCAAAAAGCCTTTAGGCAGCCGCACTCAGTTGGTACCATGTGTTTGCTGCCAAAACCATACTACATGTCAGCCAAAGCTTTGGCTTCACTGGCATTACCTTCGGAGGAACGGAAGCCGACTTGCTCACCTGGCGGGATCTTACAGACTTGTCTTGATTCAAGAAGCATTGGAGTGCAAGCCCAATGGTCTTTTACTAAACACGGGGTAAGTTCAATCGAAACAGGATGGCCTCCCACACGACGGATGCCCTCAGGTTGTCACAAACCCTGTCGTAGTTATTCTTGAAGACCCCTCCAAAAACCTGATGCTTCAGGTTCATCAGGTCCTGCCCATCTACTCCATTAGGTCGGAAGCAGTGGGTCTTGTTGCCGTTCACCGGCTCGACATTGAAGCGGAACGGCGCTGCCACAGGTTCAGATTCATTTGCTGCCTGGGGCACGGAGCGGATTTGCAGGAGATGGTGATGGGCGATGGGGAAGAGGGTGAAGGACGCCCCAAAAAGCATCAAACAGCTATAGTCAAACATAAAAGTTTGGTCAGATTGAAACCAAAACGCTGGCCGCATTTTGGGGTTGAGTGAATGATCCAGCAGCTGAACGTCCACGAGTCCATGGTCGGCTGACATTTGCCGCATGACTTCACACAGCGGCACCAGTGCGTTGTTCAAGCACACGAGCTTCTTGTCATCTAGAATTCTCCATGGCAGCATCCGCTTGGAAACGTCCCCCATACCATCACCTCAGCAGCATCAGAATAGTCCAACTAAGAGCCCTGCCCCCAAGTCATGTATATCGATCGGGCTCTCTTGCTATTAGAAGGAAGGGAAGGCGCTTAACTTAACTCCAGCTAGGGCGCCTCCGTAGACTTTCTCCTCGAAGTCACCAAGACCAAACCCGAAGAGTGGCATGGGCTGTACTTGTAGCTGCTCATTTCCTTCGTTTCCAATCCACAGCTTGAAGTCAGTGGTTAAGACCACTGATGGCCGGTTATTTTTTCCAATGCAAGATGCCAACCTACAGGGTCGTTCACTACGACTGAATCCAAGATTTGCGCTCTTGGTTTGATCCAACCCCCCACCTCTCAGCTGTAAAGTCAGAAGCACTGACTCCAGCAAGGTCCACCACTCTGGTTGGGTCCAGTGGTAGGGCCCCATTGTCAATGCTGAAGTCCGGCCGGGCGGTGGATCTCGCTGTTTGGGTAGGCCTGGCAGGTTGAACTGTATCACCTGCAGGTTGAGGATACTTTGCCACAAAGTCGAGACGCTTCTTTTCCAGTTCCTTGTGCTCCATGCTTCCTGCTGGGAACCGGGTCCCCAATGAGTCCGGCCAGACCACTGTACCATTCACCATGGCGAGAATCTTGAGGCCAATGGGCTCATTGTTGTTTTCACTCCTGGGCCGTGCTTTTGGTCCAGACTCATCACTTTGGTCCCAGTGCGCATAGACCAACTCAGACAATGCCTCCTGAGTTTTGGAGTAGTTCTCTTTCTTCACAAAGCCCAAATAATGAGCCTGGGGCAACGTGTTGTCGAAGATAGAGGTCGCCGCAGCCCGTGCAAACTCCACATGCCTAAGGGTTTTCAATTGCCATGGGCGAGTGCTCAATGTGTGAAGTGCGACCCCGGTCCAGGACTGGTTGTACCGCGACACTCTGAGCAGGGAGCCTTGGGGGATGTTTGGGTCAGTTGGTAGCTGGTTACGGGTTTCAAGATTCCCCCAATACAACTCATGCAGCGATGACCCCACCCATCCTGTTCGGCAAGACATCAATGAACAGGAAGGCA